TTGGTATTTGGTTTGTTTTTTTGTTTTTTAGTTATTTTTTAGTCATGTCAGTGAAGTTATTCTGATTCCTAGAAGAAACCCTCGGTCCTTAGTATTTCGTTTTCTTTTTTCTTTTGCTTGAACTTTGGCCCTGGGCTCTGTCCCTGAGCTTCTTTTGCTCAGCGCTAGTGCTCTACCACGTTGAGGTTCAGCACTACTTCTGGTTTTTGAGTGGTTAATTGGAGTTAAGAGTCTGTACTTTTCCTGTCTTGGCTGACTTTGAACCACAATCCTCAGATCAGCCTCCTGAGTATCTGGGATTACAGACCTAAGTCACTGGCACCTGGTAAATTCATTTTTCCTTATAGTATAATCTAAGTCATTGTTTAAAGAAAATTAACTTTCAGTGATAGCACATAGAGGTATTCATACATTGTACGTCTTAAGTTTGGTTGTTGGTATGTGTGTGCATATGCATGCTCTGTCTCAAATAATACTTATTATGCACTCGTGGTTTATAAAAATGCCAGTAGGCATCTATGGTCTGCAATTGACATCTTTTGCATTGCTGATTCTTCTACTTTCATCTTGTTACTGTTCTTGTCTTCTTATTGACAGTACCTGATTGATCTGTTTACCTACAATACCCATTTAGCAAATATTTGACATTGTAATAAAATACTGTTGAAATACAGTATATTAATCATTAATATTTATTGATAATTTAAAATATAGTAATTGACTGAGCATTGTGTACATCATTAAGTATCTTACATTCATTCCCCATTTAACTTGTAAAGTAATTATTCCTGTGAGATAAATACCACTTTCTTCTATATTTTACTGTTTGTTACCAATTACAATTCACATCTTTAAACTAATGAATACAAAGACCAGGTTCTAACTAACTCTCTTGATTCCTGCGCTGTGATTTTAACTGCTTCCTTCTCTTAGGAAAACAAAAAAATAATCATTTTGCTAAAGAGTAGAGACTAGAAAGTGGAGAAATTGGCACAAGAGAACTGACAAATGAATGAAAAGTCATGATTCAGCTTACAGAAGTTTAAAGCATGAGTTATATTACCGGTTAGGGGAAAAGGTAAAGCAAAAAAACAAGATGTGATATGTGGAAGTTACATTTAGGACATAGTAACTGGTTTTTACTATGTAAACCATTTCTAATTGTGCTAGGAAAGTAAAATGGAAGAAAAGACTGGCGGGGGGTCAGATATCAGCAATTTAAATTAACTGCGTTTATTCCTAAGTCATCTTTCCTATATGAGTATCTGTCTTGATATGGAAGGCTAAACATGAATATCTAAGGCATGACTGAAAAGCAAATTAATGAAAAGACTTCTCATTAATAAACCACTCTTAATCGTATGATAAGAGTAGCTCATATCCATCCAAAGCATTTTATCCTATTACTGTATTTCCATTTGTGCATTTTGAGCTTATATTATTTTGAAGCAAGAACTTTAAAAGATTGTTTCCTCTCCTGGTACCTTGGCTAATACAGGACAAATTAGTGCTACTTTAACAGTGAGCTGCTATAGAGATAGTGGACATAGCCTGAGGCTTTTGTACATTGTTTGGAAAAGAATAGGAAAAAAATAAGAAAATAGGGAGCTTCCCTAAATATAATGATATATGTTGAGAACGTTTGATAAAGTCTATTTATTAATAGTTCCCTAAACATCTGTAAAGTATAAAACAGAGTCAGTATAAAACAGATGAAGTGATTTTAAGGTGAAATCTGACCAGAGAAACATTGACTTTTGTCTTTTTTTAGGGGGTGGGTCTGTTCATGGCACTCCATAATAACACTTATATGTTCAATCATTCCTGAACTTAAGTAAGGTTCTTGGAAAGTCTTTGATTATTCATGAAAGCTGATGATCTTGATAGTGATGAAAGGTATAATGAATAAAAGACCTTCTCAGTAATGAATTAATGACTACCCAACATAGGCCTTACATTTCAGAACATATTTAGACTTTTTAGCTAAAATTACAACATTTTGAAGGGTTTATGGTAATTAGTGGATGATTATAGTGATAACACAGAGAGTACATGTAAGAGATACGTGATTCATGAATGTAGGTTATTAGATCGTCCCATTGTAGCTTGTTGGTTTTCATTTCCTCTCTTCTACAGCACTTTGCTAATTAACTGAAGATGGGGTGAGGTTAGATATTTTTAAAGCTGTATTGTTCAGCAGTCCCTGTAACCTGGCTGAAAATAAATTGTTTAATATTCCTGTGACCAGCACACCTGAGTGTGTCAGACTAATGTAGAGAATTGCTTTTAGAATATAGATAAATTTGATGGTGAGTCTGAGCTTAACTACTAAAGCAGTATTTAAATATTTTGCTCTTATGTTTAAGATATTTTCCTTCTGTGGTACCCAAGAAAGTTTCATATGCTGAAATTTTCTTGGAAAAGATACAACTAAGGATAATGAAAACACAAGTAATCTTGCTTACTTGAATAGGAGAATCAATCATTGGCATCTGATTGCTTAATTATAATTTAATAGTTGTGGGGGAGTGTTTTAATTTAGTTTTAATGCTAATCACTAATAATATATTTTCCTCTTTAATCAGTTTATGCATTTAAGGTCATAATCTAAACCTTTCTCTACTACCTGATAGGCTTGGGGTGGTGGTAAAGATAAGATAAAAGAAATAAACTATAGGTGTGTAGACAGTTACACTATGGAATTTCTCTAGTAGTCTGTGAAATAGAAACTCTTTAAGGGGTAGACTCCTTTTTATCCCTTGTTTATTAGTTCTACCGTTTTTCAGTTCTTCATACTTAGTTATTACATAGAATGTCTATTTTACTTCATCTTTTATAATTTGTTCCCTTTACATATAATAAGATAAAAATAGAAGTTACAATACTTCTCATTGAAATATTTTGACTTTGGATTATAAAATATTAATGTTAAGTTTATTTAATATTTGCATAGCAAATTCAGAATTCAATTGAGAATCCACCCCATCCTGACCTCTATAACTACAATTGTACTCTACGAGTTTTGGTTGTTTTAAATTTCACATATAAATGAGAACAAGAATATTTGTCTCTCAGTGCCTGACTTCACTTAGCATATAATGTTCTTCAGCTTTATCCATGTTGTTGCAAGTGACAGGATTTCCTTCATTTCTAAGACCGAGTAGTATTCCATTATCTGTATATTCCACATTTTCTTTATCCATTAATCTGTAGAAGGATATTTATCTTGGTCCCTAACTTGGCTACATGAATAGTGCTGCATTGAACATGGGAATTCAGACATCTTTTGATCCCAAATTTTTGTTGTTGTTTTGTGCCAGTCCTGGTGCTGGTGCTGAACTTCTTTTGCTCAAGGTTCTTCTACTTGAGCCACAACTCACCTTCTGGCTTTTGTTTTCTTTTGAAAAAATGGTTTATTAGAGATAAGTCTCATGAACTTTCCTACTCAGGGTGGCTTCAAACTGCAATCCTCAGATTTCAGCCTTTTGAATAACTAGGATTACAGTTGTGAGCCATAGACGCCTAGCTTGATCCCAAATTTTTTAAGTATCCAAAAGTGGGATTGTTGGATCTTACTGTAATTCTCTTTTTAAGTTTTCAAAGAACTTCCCTTCCATTTTCTTTCATTGTAGGACTAACCTATATTTGTTCCTAACAGCACACAAAGACTCTCTTTAATTATCCCTCCTTTCCAACGTTTGTTAATCCTTGTCTTTTTGGTAAAACCAATTCTGACGGGTATGAGATGATTGTGGCTTTACTTCTTGTTTTCCTAAATGATTTATAATACTGAGAATTTTTTATGTACCTTTGTGCCATTGTATGTTTTTGAGAAATATCTACTGTGGTATCTTGCTCATTTTTAAAAATTAGGATTTTATTTTTACTAGTTGAGCCTCTTACATATTTTGAACATTAACCCCTTAACTGATAGAATTGCAAATATGTTCTAGTCTGTAAGTCTTTCTCAGCATATTGCCTATCCTTAAAGAATTTTAAAACCACCACCCCAAACTCTTACATCTGATAGGTCCTGGCCAAGTACCAGGATACAAAATCAACATTAAAAATTCAGTCATATGTCAGTATACCAATAATAATAAGCTGATAATAGTTTCAAAAAGATTAAAACTGGGAATAAACTAAACTAAGAATTGAAGGCCTTTACAATAAAAATTAACAACAATGATGGTAGAAACTGAAGACAGAGATGCCCATCCAAATACAAAAGGCCTAGGACTTCCAAACAGGATTATGTATTGACTATAGGATATGAGAAATAAACCTTACTAAAATAATCAGAAGAAAACATTGAATTTTTGTGTTTTAGAATTTGAATGAAAAGTAATAGTCTCTGGGAATTTTTTTATCAGGAAAAGAAATTCCGCCTTCAGATCTTTCTTTGAGTTTAGAAGACTTAAAATTCTAGACACGTAGAACTTGAAGTTAGGTGTATTGCTCAGTCATGCTTACTGAAATGAGCATTGTTTTTCAGGAATTAAACTGAATGTCCCAGATATTACCATTCAGATCATGCCTCAGTTGTGCCTACTGACGTGATGGTTTTCATCTATATAAGCACATTCTCCCTACAAAATCTCCCGTTTTCAAAACAGCTTTGAAAACTGCTTTAAAGCCAGGATATATTTTAAACTATATTACTTTTTATGTATCCAGAAATATAAAATGAATGTATAAACCATTTGTTTTGGGGGAATTGCATTTTTATAGCAATTATCTATGCAGTGTTAAGCTTTTCAAGTATCAGTATAAAACACTTGTAATTCTCACCATGACTTTTTGTAGTTGAAAAATTCTCATTTTTTCAGATGTAAAATTAAGACCTAGCGTTTGTGACTTCCCTGGTCACAGTCTTGTGATACAGATGCAGCTCAGTCTTCTATCTCCACAGGCCATCATTTCTTCATTCATCCTCGTGTGTTTTGTTTCTACAGCCGTCTGTCTGTAGCTTGTTGACAGCATGCATTTTGTCTTTCCAGGACATGGCTTTAGTTGCCCCTGAAGCTCCTTCAGAACAAGCTAGGAGAATTTTTCAAACTTATGATCCAGAAGGTAAAAGATTTTTTTAATTAATTCTATTTTATATCTCTATATATTGGAAATATATTGACGCTCCCCTATGTTTTATTCAGAAAGTTTAACTATATTGTTGAACAAAATGTAGGTTGCATTTCTTAAAAATTTTTCAAGGAAATAATAGAAATAGAAATGGAACTCCCTTAGTCCCTCCCCTGCCCCCCTGAAAAAAAAGAACACCTAAGTGCTAGTAGGGTTCTTCCATGTTAATAAGGTATTTGTTTCTTAGGGTCTTGAGTTAGGGTGACTTTTCAAAGACTTTCTCCAGAAGGTAGTATTTTCCCTGTTTAATAATAAATTTCAGAGGTCAAGAATCAAATTGGGAAATATGACTCAGAAAGAGTTCCTAACTAACAGTCATGAGACCCTGAGTTCAAACCCCAGCACTGCTTTGTGTGTGTGTGTGTGTGTGTGTGTGTGTGTGTGTCAGTTGTGGGGCCTGAACTCTGGGCTTGCACGTTGTCACCACTTGAGCCACAGTGCCACTTCCAGCTGAGAAATCAAACCCAGGGCCTCATGCATGCAAGGCCACTGAGCCCAGCACTGCTTTTAAAAAAAAATGTCAAATATTCTTTTTTCTTCACTCATCCAAGTGAATCTTAAATAATAAAGAGATGTAGAATATTTCTTTGTGATTAGGCCAGGATAAGGATGTGAAAGAATATCAGCTTTATCATTCTCCTTTGAAACCAAGCTTATCTATAGCTTTGCAAAGTTCACACTTAATTTAGATCATTGACATAGCTGGGTGGCAGTAGCTCATACCTATAGTCCTAGTTACTCAGAAGACAGATCTGAGAATCACAGTTCAATGCCATCCCAGGCAGGAAAGTTCCTAAGACTCTTATTTCCAATTAATTACCAGAAAATTGGAAGTGTTGCTATGGCTCAAAGAGGTAGAGCAGTTACCTTGAGTGAAAAAAACTCAGGGACAGCACCCAGACCCTGATTTCAATCCCCATGACCACCACCACCAACAACAAAAAATCGTTAAAATGGCCACTAGGTCACCATAAGCTTGGTGAACTTGACCACCTCTGTATTCATGCACTTAGGTAACACTACACACTTAAGTTTTATGTACTATCGCTGAAGTCCTTGTCAGCTCTTGAGTAAATTGTTCTTTGTGAATTCACTTTACTTTAAACCTTTTACCATTGGGATCTCCTTTACCCTGAAAATATGAATCCTGCAGCTTCTAGGATTACATCTTTCCTCACCCCACTTATTAGAAGTTTAAGTGAGTTTGGTATAAATTTGCTTTCTTAGCTGTCAAAAGAGAATAAGTGTATTTCTTAAAGTCATCATACATATTAAATTATTAATGTTATAGAAAGCACTTTTCTCTGTGGCATTTTATAGTCTGAGTAGATCTTTATAATCTTGAGTTGTCTTCTCTCCATCCCTCAAGTTAACTGTTGCTCTTGATTTTACTGATGTGTTTGATTGAGTTGTCATCTTTGCTTCATTATCTTTTCTTAACTTACAAAACATAATAGTTTATTTCCTCTTGGAATTAATTATAGCTTTAAACAATTGGTAGTGTTTTACTGATTATTTAGATAAGAAAGTAAAAGACTAGGGCTGGGGGGTTAGCTCAGTGGAAGAGCACCTGCCTGGCAAGCGCAAGGCCCTGAGTTCGGTTCTCAGCTCTGGGAAAAAAGAAAGTAAAAGACTAATATCCTCACATTTTCAAACTACTGAGAAAAGCCTTAGAGTAAGCCAGCACCCATACTGCATTAACTTCTGAAAGGTGGCAGCCTATAACCTCTCTCTTACTACTTTGAATTCTTTGAGGAAGATAAGAATGAGTAATTATTGACCCTGAATGTTTTTAATATATGTTGAGGTAAGTGTCGAACTTAACAAACCATAGTTTTAGAAGTAATAATTTTAAATAAAATTTAACATAAAATTCAAAGTACAATACAAGATTCAAAGAAATATAAACTGAATTTAGTAATGAAAACTCGAGAAAGATCCCATTGGTAAATGGAAACTAAATGAAGAAAAGGTGATGAGTCTGTGAACATGAGCTGGAAATGGCAATGTCTAACAGGAAAAAGCCCATAAAGTACTTGGCCTGAGTAGAAAAACAGGAAACAGGAGTTTGGGGAATAAAGAGGCTTGCAGTTTTATTTTAGAGAATGAGTTGAACAGTTTCCTATGGCGTACCTACTGAAAGATTAAGGCACGCATTGTTTTCTGCTTGTATGTAGCCCCATTCAGCCCCCTTTTAGATGTTTTTATTTTATAAATAACAATATCACAAATTGAAAAAAAATTACGTCACATTAGAGAGTACTGCCATATATATTCACTTATCAGTGCCTGTTTTAGGGTATATGAGGGGACATGTTTCCCTTTACTGATATTAGTTACATTATGACAGAGAAAGTCCTTGCAGAATAGAATGAGTAATAGCATGCAATATGGAGTGGCATGATGGATAAAGTGGCATCTTCCCAAAGTTTTTGAACAAGTTTTCAAAATATAGACTTTTTTAATTTTGATTTGAAATGATTCAGAGGTATCACAAGACTCCCAGTATAACAACCCTAAATATTCCAAAACCATAAATAGAACTGTGTATGCTTTTTTTAATATAGTCCTATGTTTAATGAAAGTTCTAGAACCAAAAATGGAAACTATGAGTGAATGAGTTTGTTCAAAAAGAGATCATACAAGGAGATGCTCAGAAGGACTCAATAAAAGAAGACACTGAAACTAATAAGGCTTTTAAGTAGACATTTGTCATAAGTAGGAGACTTGGATAAATATATATCCTTTTTGAAAATTCTTGAATCAATGATTTATTCAATTTTATTTTGCTAATTTACCAAGAAAAATTAGAATGTCTTGCATTACCAGTACTAAATCAGTTTCTAATCATCAATATTTGAGTTGGATCCTGAGAGATGCAATATGTGTTTCTTTTAGAGAAAGAAAATTGACTAAATTTTTATCTACAAACTTTTATGTCTATCAACTTAGCAAGACTATAAAATGAATTTTTAAAGCAAAGGAAACCAGTGCCAGTGGCTCACTCTTGTTATCCTAGCTACTCAACAGGCTGAGCTCCGAGGATTGCAGTCCAAAGCCAGCCTCGGCAGGAAAGTCCATGAGATTTAGTTCAGATTAACCATCGAAAAGCTGGAAGTGGAGCTGTAGCTCAAGTGATCTATCATTAACCTTGAACACAAAAACTCAGGGACAGCGCCCAGGCCCTGACTTAAAGCCCCAGGCCATGGACTGGCACCTGAACAAAAGAAAGAAAAAGAAAAACAAAAGCAAACAAAACTTGTTCATCTATTTCAGAAGAGATAGTTCTATATGGACATAACTTAAAAATTGTCATAAAGACAAAATTTAATTTCCCATCTGAATAGCACTTTGTGGCATAGCTGTAAGAAGTACGAGGATGAACAAGTAAGCTTATTTTTTATTTTTACTTTTCAGTCGCTTACAAACTAATTTGCTCACCTAACTAATATGATTTTCCCCCCCACAAACATAGCATGCCTTTATTTTGAGATATGAGTAAACCAAGTCTTCTCAGAGCTTTCATATGTAAACGATTCTTACAAGCTTCTGAGTAGCTAGTTTCCATTCAGCAAAAGGCTGGTGTGGGGATAGCCAACCTATGTCACCCTCATCCTAATACTTGCAGATAATTGATCTAAAGAGACGTAAAAAATAGATTTTTTTGGAATCTTTTTCTCCTTACCTATGCCATTTCACCTCCCATTACTATTGGCTACTCATGAATCTGACAGTGGGGCAGACATGAGATAGCATTTTTCGTTCTATGCCTTGGACACATGAATTAAAAATACAAACATGTGCAGACCAGCTAACCACACACACATATACACCCACACATTTATGTACATGTATATATGTACATGAACACACATATAGTATATAGGTATATACATATACACATACATATGCATATACAGGCCTCAGAGAACATTATCTCATCTTCTACTGTCTAAAAAAAGTGGCTTATTATTGATCTTTCAAAATATAAGCCTGTTCTATAAATGAGAATGTGTCTAAAAATGATTATGGTATTTGCATGGAAATAATCTGTTAAAACATAATTTGTCAAAACCTTGCCATGAACTCATGTAGGAGGTAGACAAGCAATCATCATTGCTTTCTAAGAAAACTGTGACAGCTTGAGTTACTGTAAGAACAAAGTCTAGATTCCAGATACTCCACTAGGAAATCAAACCCACCTTCACTACCAATTTACTTCATAGATGCTTCCATAAATAGGCACTTTTAGTTTGTAAAGCTGTTTATTTTCAACTGCAATTCTTAATAGAATCTGTATTTGGTAATCACTAATTCTACCTGAGCAAATAGAGTAAGGGCCTTTTCAGATTCTTTAGGAATGTAGGTGCTTGCTATTTCTGTTGATGTTGATTTGTACTTTACACAGTCAAAAAAAATTTTTGAGCTGTTAATTTTCATTTGGTATGCAGCTAAAATTTTAATTTGAATGGTGTTTTGACATATCACTTATAATTATTAAGTTTAGTAATGAATCCTAGATTAGGAAATGGCATTCAACTAATCTGTGTTCTAAGAGCCTAAAGAGAGTCAGGCCAAGGCTGAGCCTTACACATTCACTTTTGAGGAAGTCCATAGTTTATTTTTTATTTTAATTTGAGCTTTGTAGTAAGGTATGCATCTCATAGGAGTTTTGGTAAAGTAACACTGAAATGTAAAGTTTGAAAGCCCCTAGCTTCTCAGGAAGATGAGATCTGAGGATTGCAGTTTGAGCCTCAATTGATCTCTAATTCATCACAGAAAAAGCCAAAAAGTGGTACTGTGGCTCAAGTAGTAGAGTACTAGTCATGAACAAAACCTCAGGGACAGCGCCCAGCCCCAGAGTTCAAGCCCCAGGACCAGCAAAAAAGAAAAGTTTGGAGTTAGCTCAGCATTTTAGAATTTGCGTAACTCTTCCTTTAGAAAATTGCACATTATCTTAAGTGATTTGTAGCCGTATATTTGTAACCTTGTGTTCTGTTTTAAAACTACCTATAGCATTGACAAATAGATGGGGACCTTTGTACAATCCTAACTTCCTTTCCGCTTGTGTACAATTGCCCAGCTTAAATGCACAAGTGCACACTTTATTCTGCAGTTTGATTATAGGAGCCAAGCTTTGGACATCTTGTTCTCCATGGCAGGATTTTAAAAAATAGTCTAATCACTGGCAAAGACATTGTGCTGAATGTTGCCTTAAAATGGAGCCTATCTTAAGGAACATGAAAATGGGTAGGGGACACCATCCATTTAAGGGAATAAAGAACTTGCTTGCTTAAAAGTACTCTCATTTCTCCCACAAGGCTTCCATCAGCATGGATTGTACTCTTACTTAAATCATGGGCCCATTGGCCCATTGTAGGATGTGTGTTCCTGCCCCCGTGTTGTCAATTACATTCCTCCAGGAAGCTAAATAACATTGTGACAATGGAATTTGTTGGTAGAGAAATGTTTTCAAAACTGCATTTCTTAATGGTAATTGAAAGAATCACTTCAACACCAATTAGTAAATTGGTGTAACTTCTTAAAATCAAAAAAAAAAACTTGTACCTATTTGACAGATTGGTAAGACTGCTTAAGGAAGAGATAATTTGGCTTTAAAGTTCATTAGAGTTATCAGCTATATGGTTAACTTTATTGTGTGAAAATTCTCAGTCATAGCATATTACATAAGAAAATTGATTTAAGAGTATCTGTTAATAGACATTGTAAAAAGTAATACAATTCCTCTAAATCTATTTAGTCTTTTATGTGAATCCAACCCCTAACTCTGAATTTGGACATTAAGAATAGCATTTTGAAGTGAAATTTTAGAATAAATTTCTTCTTTATTCCAGATAATGGATTCATATCTGATTCACTTCTAGAAGATGTGATGAAGGCTTTGGACCTCGTTTCAGACCCTGAATAGTAAGATAAATGGAAATGTTACTTTTACAGCACAAAAAGATTCCACTAAGTGTAAAAAAAGATACATTTCTACCTTATTTTAAATTCTAAGTTTGCATGATCAAAATAATACGCTGGACACTGGTGGCTCACACCTGTAATCAGGAAGTTGAGATCTACAGTAGAAGTTTGAGGTTAAAAGCCAGCCCAGACAGTAAAGTCTGTGAGATTTCATCTCCAGTGAACCAGCAAATAGCCAGATAGAGGCATGGTTCAAGTGCCAGCCACAAGCAAGTAAGCATTCAAGGAGCTGAGTTCAGGCCCTACACAAAGGTTTGAGAAGAAATCAAAGGAATCCAGTATGAGAAGCATTCTTAATAGATGTAATATGAGCTGCACTTATTGCGTGCCTTTTAATAATAGTTTTTCCTGTAAATTTTAAATTTCTCTGCAGACTAACATGCCATGTTTTAACATTGTATGCATGTATATACACACATATCTGATTTAACATATATATGATTACACACATACCTCTATGTAGCTTCTTTGAACATAACAACAGTTCTGTACAGTGTAGATATTATGGTTTTCCTGTCTACTGAACCAGCAAGCCTCTGACTTTTCATGTTAAATGAAGGTCACTAAAGATATGGAACATTTCTAGTTAACTGATTGGAACTGTTTATATGTGATTATGTATATATTACAGTATATGGACTGCTTTAAAGTATTGTCATTCTTCACTATTATATATGTTATTACATTTTTAGCTTCATTGATTTAGGATAGTTGTTATTTATGAGAAAATATCCCTTATATTGATAAAAATCTAAGTATTGAAATGGAAAAAAAGATTTAGTCTGTGCTAACTTTTTCTTTTGCCATAGTTTTTTTTCTTTTTGCAAGCTTTTTGTTATCATGAAAAGACTTTAGCTTATAAAGTGTCATAAAGATTCAGCAAAAGCAACATGGAACACTAATATACACTCTTTAGAACCTGGTTCTATTCTGTTTTGAAACCCAGCGGTGCTTTTTTGGAAGTCCAGAATATTTATAATATCTGAATTAATATGTCTTTGTCTTCCTAGAGCTGTATTTATCCATTTTCATACTTATTGTTTCTAGCTGAAAGAGGAAAAATTCAGAAAGAGTTGAATTAGTGTAGTAAGTGATAAGATAAAATTACTTTCTTTTCCAAGTAGAGACCATCTTTTTTTAATTTGACAATTTGAATAAAACTCAAATAATTTTAGTTACTGATGATTCTTAGGTGAGGAAAAAAGAAAAAGTTACTTTTTTGTTTGTTTTCAAATTTGTCTATTAGGAGTTGTATGCCTTAATGATTTTCCTTCTTCCATCAGAATATATAACATGTCTTAGAATATTGTTAGTACAGTTGATTCAACTTACTTTTCTAAAAGTAGTTTAAAGATTGTGCTTTGGTCTACATTTGTAAAATATGATTCATTAACTAGGCCATATTAAGAAATGAGTATAGATATATAATTTGCTTTGCCTTCTTTTGTCTTATGACATAACCTTCTAGCCTTGCCCAGACCTACTAAAGGGTCTATCCTTGGTGTAGTACACTGGATATTTCATGATGTAGGAGTCATCCATGATAGCCAAATGCCCCCAAAGGCAGGCATCTCATGGAGCACATACTGGTGCCTGCAGCTGGGGTCTCCAGATGAGGCTGCTTTAGCACAGGTGCAACTTCTATAACCCTTAGATGAACACTTACCCTAACAAGGAGGGTTAGACACCTTTATGAAAGAACCACCTGGTAAGTGACCCCAACTGAATACAGGTGCAATAATCGGAAACTTGTCCCCTAACACTGAGAATGGTCTTCAGGTGGAAAACTTCCTTGGCAGGCAGTCCTCTGAGCTGCTGACTGTAAGTCCTAGGAGTCATAGGATGTGTCTAAAGTCATCTTGGACTCCAGTGGCCAGAAGAGAGAGGAGGTCCCTTGGGAAACTGGTTAACCAGAACCCCTTAGAGTCCCCAGACACAATGCTTTTCTTGTTGCATAAGCCAGATTTAACTCAGCTTTTTTAGTTTAAGATAACATGGAGAAGAAAACCTTCCTGAACAGACATTTTCATTTCAATCTGCCACGCACTTGTCTGCCTCTCTCTTGTCAGCCATGAAAACGCTTTGATCAGTCTCAGCTACACCTATGGTGGGCCCTGCACTGAGCTATCTCACTGTAGCTGCTGCACCAATAAAATGTGCTACTTACTGAGACTCACTGTTCTCAAGCTCCAGAGTTGTATCTCCTCTTTAACCTTCAAGTTACAAGGTCGAATAATTTGAAGTGTTTATCTCATTTAGTTACTGAAGTCAGGTTTTTAAGAGATGTTTTAGATTATGTAATGTATCCCTTTGACATGTTTATTTTCTCCTTGGGCTTGAAGTAAACATGGTTGTAAGTTAAATGCCTCATTTGATGGTTAAATTCAAGCATACCTATGAAACAGAGAGAATGTTCCTTTAGGAAGTTAGGAGCCTGAGTTTTCTAAGCCATGATTTTTAAATGACTTTACCTAATAAGGAGCAATATTCCAAAGTCATCGTCATAATTTAAATTTTAAATAGTAACAGATTACTCTGGTTTAAAAATAACCAAGTTTTGGCAAATTAAATGTCATTCCTGTGTATTTGTCATTAAGGTTCTAAAAAGAACAGCTCTTAGAATTGTTGGCAGTTGAATGTGTTGCAGTACCAGTAATTTAATTCTGAAAGAAAAAAGGGTTTGTTTTTCTCCATTTGGGTATCCACTGTTTTTCTTCTTTTCTCTCCATAGTATAAATCTCATGAAGAATAAATTAGATCCAGAAGGATTAGGAATCATATTATTGGGACCATTTCTTCAAGAATTTTTTCCTGATCAGGTAACATAGTCAAGGAAATCCATTATTATTATCTGTGATTGTTTGCTATTTCTCAGCTCCTTTAAAATGTCTTGACATGTCTATATGATGCTGAGAAGGTGTCATATATGCACACGTGTATACACTCACATATACACACATATGTATACTTTTCCATGTAATGAGATCACAGGTTACATGTATATCTATATAGTAGTGCAGTGCTCTGAGGGTATTAGTACAGGTGCAGCAGTGTACTGAAGGTACCAGTAGAGCTGTTCAGTGCTTTGTAGGGAGATTGATTCAGAAGAGAATAGTGTATATATTTGTATAAAATACTGTTGGAAATAGGAATAAAAGTTGGAAGAATGCCAGGTGCCAGTGGCTCACACAGGTAATTCTAGCTACTCAGGAGGCTGAAATCTAAGGATTGTGGTTCAAAGAAGGAAAATCCATGAGACTCTTATCTCGAATTATCTACCTTAAAAGCCAGAAGTGGAGGTGTAGCTCAAGTGGTAGAGCACTAACATTGAAAAAAAAAAATCTCAGGGACAGTGCTAGGCCCCGAGTGTAAGCCCCAGGACCCAAAAAAAAAAAAAAAAAGAGAGATTCCCTTTTACCACTTACTTCTATCCCTTTATTTTTTCAGTAACTGTTAATGGATTTGCATATATATTTTTCAAAGTTTTTAAATAGTAGGAAAAAACATAAAGGTGATTGATTTATAGGTGGTAAGAGTTCCTAGCTGTGAACCATTTCATCTGCCTGATAGAAAAGCTTGGGTTTGGGTTTGGGTTTTGGCATAGAGCTGTACCACTTCCTTCCGGGGCATTATTAGGAACCTATGCTAGTTATATCTGTATAACTACCCAGCCATTTCTGTGTTCATTTGTCTTCATTTTTTATCTAAGTGAAACATTTTACTATTGAACTGAATCATACATCCTAGTTGTATTTTGGCATTTCATTGGTTATCAGCATAGTTTAAATTGAAGTTCTTTGTTCCAATGGAAATGCTGTTCTGACTGTTATAAATATGTTGATAAGTAGAAAACTTATTATTTAAAGTTGAAGGAATACTTCAAGATAATTATTTAGTTTGGAGATATAATTGTTAATTTGATGTGTCCGTTAAATTATCTTTAACAAGAACTCATTTTCTAAACCTGTTATGAGTACTGTGAATAAAGTGACAAAAGTTGAAAAAGTCACTCAGAATATCAAACTATAAGCAAGTGGACCTTTTCAAACTTGTATATGTTTAGTAGAAAAAATAATTTGTGTTCTGAAATTATTGGAAAGACACTGTTGGGTTATAATTTCTGTCTGTTACATTCCAACTACTTAAGGTTCTCTTCCTTTTTTTTTTTAGTTCCTTTCTGGAATCTATAATCATGTTTTAGCTTTCTTGACAAAGCTTTATAAATTATAGCACTTAATTTACTTTTGTTGTTGTTAGGTTTTTTTGTTTGTTTTTTTGTTTTATTTGTCAGTCGTTGGTCTTGAACTCTGGGCCTAGGCCCTGTCCCTGCGCTCTTCAGCTCAGGACAAGTGCTCTACCCTTGAGCCACAGCGCCACTTTCAGTTTTCTGGTGGTTAACTGGAGATAAGAGTCTCATGGACCTTTCTGTCAGGGCTGCTTTGAACAATGATCCTCAGATCTCAGCCTCCTGAATAGCTAGGAATACAGGCGTGCCACTGGGCGCCTGGCTATTGTTTTTGTTGTTATTTGTTGTTATTGTTTTGCTGGCCTTCAGGCTTGTCTCAAGGCCTAGGCACTGTCCCTGAGCTTTTTTGTGCTCAGGGCTAGCGCTCTACCACAGCACTACTTCTGGCTTTTCTGAGTAATTTATTAGAGATAAGAGTCTCATGAACTGACTTTCCTTCCCTGGCTAGTTTCAAACCATGATCCTTCGATCTCGGCCTTCTGAAGCTAGAATTACAGGTGTGAGCAACCAGCCCCAACCTGGCTGCACTTAAAAACTTAGAAGCAATCATATTTTAGTATTTCCAGAAAGCTGCTGTTGAACATTTGCTACAGATACTGATTTCTTAATTATGATGAAATTTTCTGAGTTTTTAATTCAGCTTTGTAAGTTGTTAAAAGGAGCTTTCTGATTGGATTCTTTTTGAAATTATGGACCTTTATGTAACTTAGTATAAATAAATGCTGCTTATAATCATTACAACTTACTAGCTCAAGGAATTTACATTTTAATTGTACTCTTCCTTGAGGTAATAAAAGAGAGCTCTATTCCCCTCCTAATTTTTCATGAAACAAGACATTTTCATTTGGTTGTACTATTTGTTCCCCTTAGTTTGTTTAGTTGGGCTGATTTCCCTGCTATTTTGGACATACTCTCCGTCTGAGCTGGTCTGTCTCAGCACTCCTATTTAGTTCATGTACTTTCCTCACCCCAAGCACGTGGCCCTGATCCTCCTTCCCTTAGAGCAGTACGTTCTCAAAATGAAGTTTCTAAAAAAAAAAACTTGTTACAAATGCAGATTCTTAAGCCATGCCCCACAACTAATACGTCAAAAACTTTAAAGGTGATTCTGATAGAAAATGAAGCTTGAGAACAGCTACTTCAATGGAAGACTTGTTCCATCCCTACCTCTTCACTTCCTGAAAGAACTGAGACTTCAAGTCACAGGTCTTTCCCATATTAATCCTATGACTTCTACTTAGTACCTAACATAATAATGGTAACTCAGTAAGCAGCTCCTTAGCCAGAAACAAATGAAATAAAGTCACACATCTGAAACTGGAATGGCAGCAGGAGACTACAGTAATCTTTACAAATACTTTAGCAAGCTGCATGGGAAGAGCATTGTGAGTAGAAGCCCACACGGGGGGGGGAAAGTGGGAATAGCTGTAAACTTTCCAGGACAGTTTGTTTACAGTGGGACGAGAGGCAGCTCCTATTTATCAAAATGTAATATGCACCAGGCACTCTGTGCCTTAATATAAATTAAGTACTGTTATTTTTCCCGTTTGGCAACAAGGAATAGGATTCGCGAACCTATCCAACAGGGTTCTTTGTAATGCCAATCTAAGCACTTCTCCATATCACACTGCCTTGTTGCCAGTGTTTCTGCATTTTATGCCATTGTAAATTATTGTAGCTACAAAATATAAGTTGTATTCAATTATAGTAAAATGCTTAATTCAAATTCAGAGAAGCAACAGCCAAATTACACTTCTAGGAACTAATTGCGTTGACTCATGTATATACAATTAAATGATCACATACTCTAGTTTTTCTATTTGGTATGTTGAGTAGGGTACAAAAATATGGAGGTTTAGATTTTAGTCAGGAACATAAAAACGTGGAAAATTAAAGGAGTTAAAAATTTAAAGTCTTCCAGTAACATTAGAAAAGATAATGCAAAGTAGTATATGATCTATTCTCCAATTATTCTGGCAACTTTTATTTATAGAGCTTCCAAAATAGTATAGAATCCAACTAGTGTGTGTTCAGGAAAAGCTTTCCAGAAAATGCTAGCTTGAAGCAGATCTTAAAAAAACGAGGGGGAGGAACTAGAGGAGCTCATTTTAGGAATAAAAAAGCTCACAAATGTACAGAAGGCCAACAAAAAAAAAATCTTTTCGTGGGAAAATGAGTCATGTTTGTCTAAAACAGAATTCAGAAAGTTGAGTAGTTAGAGATAAGACTGAAAAGGTAAAATAGGTTGTGTTTTATTCTAGTAGTCTTGCTTGTAAATAATACCACACAACCTTAAATGGGAAAGACAGCTCAAAGAAATTGAAGCAGCAAGCCCCATTAAGGGAAGGTGGCTGTAGGAACGTGGAATGTCAGAGACTGGCGCAGAGGTCATGAGCACTGCCCAGGGTCTCTCGTCTTCCTTTCTCTAGGAGCCAGAGCCACAGTTGCCAACAACTCTCTTCCCTTAGTTCCAGTTGGAATAATAAGGAGGAACTCTAACCCTGCTTGGGTCACATGTCTGTCCCTGCATACATCAGAAGGTAAAGGGGATAGGTACTGAGGACTCTGTCGGTCCTGAGGGTAATGACTGGGAGCCAGGCACATTCAAATCCACAGACTTGAATGCTAGGTTAAGACAGAAGAGCTTGATCTGTTGTGCAAATTTAGGCTGGTAGTGATGTTTAGGACATGATTTCTTCATGGAATGTTGCCTGTTTGTTGAAAGTCTCTTTCAGCACTATGTATTACCGCTTCAGTGCTCCTTGCACTGATTAAATGTTAACTATCCAAATGGCAAGTCTTCAATCATAGATTAAAAGTATTGTTTTGATAAAAATAATACCATGTATTTATGAAGAACAAGTTATTTACAAGAGAAAAGACAAAGGTGTGTTTTAGAAGATTTCTAAAGAAGTTTATCCTTTAAAAAATTAAGGGCAGCCAGGCACTGGTGACTCAAGCCTGTAATCCTAGCTACTCAGGAGGCTGAGATCTGAGAATCACGGTTCAAAGCCAGCCCGCTCAGGAAAGTCCATGAGACTCTTATCTCCAAAAAGCCACTAGAAAACTGGAAATGGCGCCGTGGCTCAAGAGGTAGAGCACTGGCCTTGAGCTGAAGAGCAGAGGGACAGCGCCCAGGCCCAGAGTTCAAGCCCCATGACCAACAAAAAAATAAAAATGAAATAAATTTTTTTAAAAAGGCATATCGCAGAAAACATAAATGTATGCAGAAGAGATTGTCATGAAAATCAGCACACCCCTACTTCCCAGTCTCTTTCTAAAAGCAGCCTTTCTGCTTTTAGGTTTTCTGTTTTGCGTTGTTTCAAATGATTCCCAGTGAAAGAATGAAGATGTCAGGAACTTGCATTTGTCTTTACTGCTAATTAGCCACTTCCTGAAACAAAGTTTTAATAGCACTTTATTTATATTAGGGCTCCAGTGGTCCAGAATCATTTACTGTCTACCACTACAATGGACTGAAGCAATCAAATTATAATGAAAAGGTATGAGAATTCACATAGTAATTTGCCTTCAACTCGGTTGATGAAATACATATACGAGTGAGTATTAACAATGTCTCATTCCCCTACAGTTGCTACCCATGAAATTATTCCAAAAATCTCTATACCACAACATATTCTAGAATTAACCATATTCAGTTAGACTAATCTGGCTCTGAAGTGGGCTTTGAACAATAGTTTATTGACAGAACTACATGTGCATGTATAGTGTTACCCTGCCTTGTGTGCATTTCTAAATCAGTATTTATGGTTTAGCCAGTGAAAGCCATTACTGTTACTTACATTCAGAGAGAGGTTTTTAATACTTTAAGGGATTAAAATAATCATAATGGCTAGTATTTATTGAGCATCTACCTAGAATTGTATTAAGTCTTTCCTTAATCTTAAATTTTATACCATCTTATCAAGTAAATATTGCCTGTGCCTGTGTATCTCACTGGACAGAGAAGGGAACTGAGCACAGGTAAGTAATGTCCTGAAGTCAAGCAGCCCGGAGTGGCATAATTGGAATAGAAACTTAAAAGTCCAGTTCACACTCATGGTCTTGCCCAGTAGGCTTTTTACTCAGTATGCTTTGCTACTAACATTTGTAAAACCATAGGCAAAAGCATGTGGGTGCATCTTTCCAGTGTACCACCAGGTATACCAATCTTGTGCACACATGTGGTATGTCTGTTCTATGTGCATTTGATCAAATATCAGTCATAGAGGATATACAATTAATATTGAAATAATGCCAAACATTTCTTTCTTTTCAATCTGACCTCTACTTGCTGATTTCCTAAATATCTAAACTGGAAATGGCGACAGAAAATACTTTATAATGTAAATTAGAAGTGCAATTTTAGTACAAATTAGAAAATCTGAGAGGTTTTATTATGTTCAAGATATTTTCACGAAATGCAATTTATTGCTAGCAGAATATAAATTGTCAGAACATTTGCATGTTGTCTCTTAATGTGTATTAATGAGTGCTTCATCTAGACTTGGAAGTTTTACAGAGCTGTTGTAATAGGTACTTTGTAATCATTCAACAGTTATTCATCTACACAGTCCCTGCAAGGTAGTCAGTCAAATATTATCCATATTTTACAGATGAGGCCTCTGAGACAGGGAGATTAAGTGACTCACCCAGAGTCACACAGCAAGTCATTGACAGAGCAGGGATTGGAACTGAGTTCCTGATTCCCAGTCCTGTCCTTGGTCTGCTTGGCCACGCTACCTGTGGATAGTAAGTTTCCAAATCATGCTTGTCACAGGCATCTGACATACTAACACTAAGATCAGAAATTGAATAGAATTAACATGACAGATGACTATAACTCAAAAGCAAAGCATGTTTGTCGTTAACTTACAGAAATAGAATGTCATGAAGTTGTTCAGGAGCTAGATATGTTAAGAGTTAATGGTGAAGACCTATTGAAAACATCGAGGGAAGCAGCAAGTGGATGCTGAGCCTGAGCCACCAGGCAGAGAAAGCTAGATGAGGCCACCAGGGGTCAGTCAGAGCAGCGCCCAGGTTTCTGCTCCAATGCTGTGAGCATCTGGAGTTCTGGGCCGTGGAGACAGCTTTTCAACAGGAATCACTTTTGCACTGGAGAAGTGAAAAATGTGAGTCGAAGTTTTAATAGATATTTAATCCACATTAGAAATAAACACATTAACCAAAGTAATAAATACATTAACCAAAGATGCAAAAAAAATGTATTTCACATGAAGGAGTATCTCTTAAACGTCCTAAAAATGAGAATCTGACCTAGTAGTAATAAAAAAAAATACACTCTATTTCTATATTTAGTGTGCTGTTAAAGAAACTGTCTTTTAAGGTTGATTAAGTTATTCTTTGAACTCTTTAAATACCTTATGGGCTTTTTATTGGAACATGATACAGTCATCTCAGTCAGCCATACTGAATATATAACAGTAATGATACATACTGTGCAAGAAACTGATCTATATGTTCATTCCTTTGAAAGTACCCAAGAGTTGGAATTATGGTTTTTAATGAATACCATGGAAGCTCTTCATAATGAGTAAGGGTGTTTGTTGGTTGTAGTGTTATAACTACTTCCAAGTATTTTACTTTTTCTTTAAAAGAATTTTTTTTCTGGTATCTAATTGCCAACTCATGTAAAGTACTGATTACTTTGACTTGATTTTCGCTTCTGTCCTGGCATCTTTTTAAAGATTTTTCTTCATGAAAAATTTGCAGAATAAAGTATAATCATGAACTGAACTTTAGAAATATTTAATAGCAGTTTTTCATTGTCTTCAGCTTTGGATACCCATTTCAACCAAAGGGAGAAAATAGTTATTTTCAGAGGGCGTAGCTGTATTTCCCTGTGGCTTTCCATCTCCTGAGGGAGCGGGGTATCCCAGTGCCCACAGTAGGTAGAACGAAAGCATGATGTGTAGATTGAGTCGTGTAACACTGCTTTCCTGATCAGAATCAATTTGTATATGCTCTGTGACTGGAGTGCACTTTGTAATGGGTCATGATCTTGAATTCTAAAGCTTACTGGTTAGCTAGCAATTAAAATGTGTGTCACCATCTCATTTATAGTTTTATTCTCACCTTAATTTGCAGATATTTCCTGCTTATAATTTCTTTAAAAACAAATGTAGATGTGAAGCTCTACATGAAAAAGCATGTCATAACTTACAGCCTGTAAAAATTGTTTGTATCCCATGTAAGAACTTGCTCAGATTGTGGCCTGACTGGTGTGGCTTTCCCCCCCCACAGGTAATGTATGTGGAAGGGACTGCAGTGGTCATGGGGTTTGAAGATACGATGCTACAGACCGATGACACCCCTATCAAGCGCTGTCTCCAAACCAAATGGCCATGCATTGAATTACTCTGGACCACAGATCGCTCGCCTTCCCTAAACTGATTTGCCTACATATTTATGAGGAAGACTGATAACAGATGACAACAGAGGGGTTCGTGACCGGCACATGGCTAAGTTAAACTAAACACTGGTATCATTGATTAACTGTAAATAGCAAAACACATTTTAGTGTTTAAAATATGTTTAAATTATTCGTTTTTAAAGCTTTATGTTAAAGGTTATCCTATTTTAACCCTTTCTATGAAGTTTATTAGCAAAATTAAGCTTTAATCAGAATTCATTACTTGCAGACAGATAATTGGTCATCTCTCAAATTACGAGCCTAATACAATAGCATAAAAGAATTAAATTCACTACTTATATAATCTTCTGTTCTAGGTTTTCTTTCCTTTGGGCCCATTCTGTTGTTAGCCTCCACAGTGAAATGCTGGAATTGATTTTGTTACTTGTTTTCTAAAATCTGTTTTTCCATTAGAAATACTGATGAGTACCAAATTACCAACCCTGGTCCTTGAACAGCTGACAGAACCCTGGCATGTTTACAAACTAGGAACTTCCCGCTTACTCACAGGTGGAGAGGGGATGTATTTTTTAAAATGATAGAAAAAAAGAATGTTTGATAGTCTTAACACTGTTAACTTTGGCTGTATTGCTAAGTACACTTTTCCCACTGTGTTCCAATGGCCCCATAAGCCAGCTCTCTTGTATACCTGACTGCATGAGAACATCTGTTATTACCTTAGTATATCGCATTATTTATTATGATCCTAGCTACTAGCCTAAATAAAGACTTTTTTTGTTTAGCTTTAACTTTGCATTCATACATTAGTAGCTTAAAATAAGTAAATGCTTTTAACCCTTTCTGCCTAGCAACCCTGAGTATGTAAAAATTCTTCATGGGCTCAGAAAAGACCTTCCCTGAGAGACCAAGCGTTAAGCTTCACTAAAGCTCTGCTAACTCCACGCTGTCAGCACAAGTCCTGGGTGGCAGCTGTGTTGACTGAGCTAAGAGCTAAGCTATAGAAGCCTCATCCCCTGTCCTCTGAAGAGCACTTTGCTCATGCCAAGCAATTGAAATGTGGGGAGCTGGAAGGGCCTGCTGTCCTTCTCTTGGGAAGCAGTTCCTCCGTGTGATCTTGCACATTTCAGAGAAGTATATCTCATATGTGAATGTTTGTTTGGGGCTTTATTTTTTTCCTTTTACAAACACGTAAGTAGATTGGAGCATGGACAAAAAAAATGGCCAGATTTTATGGGTAATTTTGCTGACATTCTGTTCCAAGAGTATACTATTGAAATGCAGGCTGTAAAAAAGTCAGTCTTTTTGGCCTAATCGTGTCTGCTTCTGAAAGCACATGAAGTGCATTATGTCAGAATTAACTAGCTCCATAAATTGTAAATTCTCATGCGATTCTCTTATAGAATTTAGATGTTTATGGTAGATCTCATAAACATCTACCTATAAAATAGTATGTATAGTTCTGTTACTATTGCTGTACAACAACAGACCATCCCAAAGCTTCTTGGCATAAAATCATCTTTATAGGTTTATTTATGTGAAGGTAACATTCTCACAAATGTAGTCACTCAAATGGTTCAATGGCACCACAGCAGGACAGCTTGTTCTCTCCCATTCCGGAAGCTCAGCTGATACCTTCAGTGGACAGGCATGACTAAGACATACATAGCGTGATCTCGTTTTCCCAGGTGGATGTACCACCACCACCACCACCGACAGTCATCCGTAGTCATCGCACACGGAACTGGCAGTATGATGGAAGATCGAGCATCCTGAAAGTCGGGAAGTTAGCGCACCTTCAAAGAATCAAATGACAAAAAGAAATTGCAGTGAGAATCAACATACTTATTGCTTAAGATGAAATGTATAGCTTTAACTACATTAGACAATTCAGAATTTTGGAAATTTGAAGGCTGGCCTTTCATTTCAAGAATGGCAAAACCCAAAGTAAATAAAAGGAGATAAAATACTGAGACAAACACATGCAAAAGGATGCGGCTGGGCTTTTCACACCTACAAAAAGTAGGTACTAGTAAGCTAAGAGTTAAATACTTCTAAGAGTTAAAAGGGTGAAATTCACATAAGACAACAGGAATACATTTCCGTGACTTTGGGTTAGGCAGGTTTTTCATCTGACATTTATATTTTTAAATACAAATTGTATTTTTTTAAAAACAGATTGTATTTTTAAATACAAATGTCAGATGGGCACTGTTGTCCGCTGCAACAGTGGGTCATGTAATCACATCAGATAATCACATCACAACAGAAAAGGTTGGAAGACAAAAAGGATATTAGACTTTCTCAAGATTTAAAACTGCCTAAAATGACATAATCAAAGAAGGTAAAATGCCAGATTGGTATGATATCTCAAGCCTATAAACTCAGCTACTTGGAAGGCAAGGACCATAAGGATCCTGGATTAAGGCCAAACTTGGTAAAAAGACCTCCATCTCAACTTGACAAGCTGACATGGTAGCAAATTGCCCTAATCCCAACCATGTGGAAGGTATAGGTGAAAGATCATGGCTCAGAGCCAGCCCCAAAATGTGGCAGACACTAGCAATAAATATGTAAAAAGGTTTGTCAGCCTTAGTAGAACTAGGGAAATAAAATCAAAACCAAGATACCACTTCATGCTCATTGAAAAAAAAAACATAACAGACAGCATGGAGGAAGATGTGCAGATGTGCGAATCATCACACATGGCTGTACAGATAGAAAGTGGCAGCACACTTGAGAAGGCAGTTAAGCACAGAGATAACTCAGCATCCCCACTCCTGCTTTTCTAAGAGAAACAAGGACGTGTCATTTATAATAGCAAACAATGGGAACAACCTAGATGTTCATCCACAGCTAGAGTGCAAATTTAAATATAGCTGAATTTTAATTATCAAAACAAATGGCTGACGTTGGAATATAGATGGCCTTGAAAACCTGATGCTGAATGAGGCTACTCAAAAAAGACTACTTTTAGACGAAATACTCACTCATGGCTCACACATATAATCCTAGCTACTCAGGAGGCTAGATCTGAGGATCATTACTCAAAGTTAGTCAGAGCAGATAAGTCTGAGACTCTTATCTCCAATTAACCACCAAAAAGCCAGAAATGGAGGTATGATTCAAGTGGTAGAACACCAGCCTTGAGCAAAAAAAAAAACTAAGGGACAGTGCCTAGGCCCTGAGCATAAGCCCCAGCATTGGCATAAAAAGAGAAAGACTACATCCGGGTATTAGTGGCTCATGCTTATAATCCTAGCTACTTAGGAGGCTGAGATCTGAGGCTCATGGTTCAAAGGCATCCTGAGCAGGAACATGCATGAGACTCTTCGATTAACCATCAGAAAACCCGAAGTGGTGCTGTGGCTCAAGTGGTAGAGCACTCGTATTAAGTTGAAGAGCTCAGGGACAGTGCACAGGCCCAGAGTTCAAGCCCCATGACCTACAAAAAAAAAAAAAAGAATGACTACATTTATCATTGTATTTATGTGGACCTTTCAGATAAGGTAAACCATAGAAAATGGATTAACAGTTACCAGGAACTAAGGTGGAGTTGGAGTAGAATAGCAAGACTGGGGAATTGCTGCTAGTGGTGTAGTTCTGTTGGGGGAGTGATGAAATGTCCTAAAACTAGATTGTGGGAAAAAGCAGTGGAATCAAAAACAAGACTGATCCAAAAACAGGCTACACACCTTTGCAACTTGTAATTCTAGCTACTTGGAAGGAAGAACTCAGGAGGAATGTGGTCTGAGGTGAGCCTAGACACATTTATGACCCCTCCTCAACCACAGCTAAGTTCAGTGACACTGCCCACATCCTTAATGTGTGGAAGTCTGAAATTGGGTGGATCACATTTCCAGACTAGCCTGGGGAACAAAGTCCCCAAGATTCTATCTCAAAAAAATATGGAGGAGTGGGCAGGGTGGAGAGAAAGCAGTACTAAGAATGAGACAAGATATCTGCATTAAATATATACATGTCATACAAACAAGCACATATATGTGTGTATAATATATATAAACAACTTTAGAACTTACAAGAATTATTATCCAAAAGTAAAAGACAACCAAATTTAAAGATGGGAAGAAACTTGGATCAACCCTCATACCTGCCCCCTGAACCCCTCTGAACCATGGTACCCACAAGCCCTGAGAAGTTAGTGTTAGACACTTGCAAAAATAATCAACAGCTAGCAAAACACAGCACAATGAATACAGACTGACCACTTGTCCCAGTGTGCACTTAGCAACTAAATACTAAGTCTTATATATGATCAAGTTGCAAATAAAGCTTAACTTTTTTGTGTGTGCCAGTCTTGGAGCTTGAACTCAGGGCCTGGCCTCTGTCCCTGAGCTGTTTTGCACAAGGCTACTAGTGCTCCACCACTTGAGTCACAGCTCCACATCCAGTTTTTTCTTGGTTGTTAATTGAAGATGACAGTATCACAGACTTTCCTGCCTAGACTGACTTCAAACAGTGATCTTCAGATTTCAGTCTCCTGAGTAGCTTGGATTACAGCATGAACCATGAGTGCCTGGCAGTATTCATCTTAATTCACAAGAACATTGCATCAAATAAGGTTTTAAACAAAGCAATCAAATACATATTGAGGCATCAACAGATACCTGTTCTCTACCTTTTCCTGAGAGGAAGTGTTGCCGTACATAGGTGAGATGTTTCCAGCCACACCAAATTCACCAGCCCAGAGTTGAACAACAGTCATCCAGTCTTCTGTCATTTTGTACACACACTGGGTTTTTTTTCCTTTATTCCCATGAAAAATGTATAATGTAGATATTGAATATATTTTGCTGACCTTACAGTATGTTCTCAACTGTAACCACACAATATAACTTACCATTGCAATATGCAGTTTACAGTGTTGATTTAATTGAAGAGAAAGATTATACATTGCCCATTACTATATACGATAGTATTCATTATTTCAGGTTATATAGCTCTCCGTATTCTAAGCTGGACAGAGTTCTTGCCGTGAAGGTATTTTGATCTGAGTATAAGGCTGAGGGTATAAATACTTTTTCTGCTATGTTCCAAGTCTGAAGTAATACTAAACCTCTACTGAAGAATGCTAGCGCAATCAACACATCTCCCGCCCTGTCATTCCCTCCTCTTGTCACTTGCTGATGGTCCATATTAAACCAACTAATACCGGACAAATATTTTGAGTGGAAAAAGAAAATGTGAGCAGTTTCCAGCTGTCTCATGACATTAAAACATTTTGACTACTAACACATATATTTTAATGGGAGAAAGATGTCATGTCAACAATCACAGTGCTGTGGAAACAGGAAATAAAATAGTGTTTGCTTTATTTACTGTATTTCTGATATAGTCTAATTTACTTACATGATTTTTAAGACTGCCAGTATTATATTTTCCCACATGGCAGAGTTCCCAAACCCTTCTTAAATGCTATAGCTTCATAAGCCAGAAGTTAGCATAATGATATGGTCCTAAGGGAGGAGAGTTAAACCACTTACTAGCTATGTATCTTTCAACAAGGTACCTGATTTCTATTAGTTCTTACTAGAAAATTGGGTTATTGTGATCTTTCTAAATATTGTGTTGAGTTTTCTACTCTTAAACAATTATTAGTGGGCATTATAATTTTATTTTTTTACAGTACTGGATTTGAACTTGGGGGGTCTCATGTTTGTCAGGCAAGTCCTTTACAACCTGAGCCATACCCCTGCTCTTGCTTTTTGCTTACTATTTTGGGATGGAATCTAATGGCCTTTTCTACCCAGGCTGGTCCTCCAACTCACAT